GAACATTTAAGTTAGACAGAAATGGTGATATGATTTATACAAATCAAATACATAAAAATCATGTGGGAATTTCTAAGCCTAGAAGTTCTGATCTGGGTTCTACATGTGAGTCCAGTATATTAAATAAATGATGACTTTGAAATGTATCTGGCACAATGATCAAGATCAGATGTTAGATTAAGGAAAGTAAACAGCAGTACATTGTGTCTGTGCGAGCAGGTACTTAACTAGCATCACAAAATATACCAGCTACTTGCTGGTTTCCATTGAGAGCGTAAAATTGGTTTCATTTTTTTTTATTTGTTTCCAACTTAGATTAACTATGAATTGTACTGCATAATAGATTTTGTTTTTTTATTTAGATTAGACATTAGAATTGTTTGAAGTTATTTTTTTATTTGTTTGTTTTCCAGGCTCAGTGAATGTTTCCTCTCAGAGAGAAGCTGTGAACCTTTATCCTCAGTTCTCAGCTCCCAGTCATCTAATCTGAGCATGCTGGATGCAAGCAACAACAACCTGCAGGATTCAGGGGTGAAGCTTCTGTCTGTTGGACTGCAGAGTCCACATTGTACACTGGAAACTCTGAGGTCAGATTAAAGGATAGTTGTTTTTCATCAAATTATAATAAAAGAATTGGGACTCAGCTAAAAAAGGTCAAATTAATCTATTTGGTTTTGTAATTCAATAATTTGTATTATTTCTCTTTCAAGTAAATTGCCAAATTTATAATGTGTAAAATTAGATAATCGCAATTCTAGCTGCCTCTGAAACGAAAACGAGTATGGCTAAATGTACTAATTTTTTCACTGAACTATTGGTACATTTTGCATGTAGTGTCTTTGTTTTCTTTATTTTTCAAGACTGGGTGGCTGTTTCCTCTCAGAGAGAAGCTGTGAATATCTGTCCTCAGTTCTTAGCTCTCCATTCTCCGGGATGAGAGTGCTGGACCTGAATAACAACAACCTCCAGGACTCAGGAGTGAAGCTTCTGTCAGCTGCAGCTTCTCACCCCAACCGGTTACAGCAGATTGCCACCCCTCCCTGAGCCTGATTCTGTCGGAGGTTTCTTCCTGTTAAAAGGGAGTTTTTACTTCCCACTGTCGCCAAAGTGCTGCTCATATGGGGTCATATGATTGTTGGGTTTTTCTCTGTATCTATTATTGTACGATCTACTGTACAATATAACGCGCTTTGAGGCAACTGCTGTTGTGATTTGGCGATATATCAATAAAATTGAATTGAATTGAATTGCATTGCCAAATCCAAGTTGTACTTGCTACATACTCTGAGGTCAGATCGAAGATTGTTTTATTTTTCATCAAATTATATAAGTTGCAGTTTTATAAAAAGCACAGCAAATAATGGTCACCATCAGCCACCCATTGGTGTAGTTTAGTATTTTTCACATGTTCTAAATTATACTAAATTAACACATTTTTGTGTTTAAACTAAAGCAGTAATAATTCAAGCCTGTCCTGAAATAATAGTAACTGTTATCAAATCTAGTAAGTCGTCATTGCACCATCAATACACTTTAATTTCAGTGTTTTTGTTTATGCATTCATTTTTCAGATTGAGTGCCTGTAACCTCTCAGAGACAA